CCTGGCCAACATGGTGGCAACCCGTCTCTACTAAAAATACAAAAATTAGCCGGGCATGGTGGTGTGTGCTTGTAGTCCCAGCTACTCAGGAGGCTGAGGCAGGAGGATCGCTTGAACCTGGAAGACTGAGTTTGCTGTGAGCCGAAGTCATCCCACTGCACTCCAGCCTGGGTGACAGAGTGAGACTCTGTCTCAAAAAACAAACAAACAAAAAACAAAGAACAAAAAAACACTGCCCAAACATGAAATAGATAACTTCTGATTTGTTTCCTTTCCAAGTTGATCAGCCTCAGGGCCAGTTGGGTATTTTCTCCCCTGGACTGCCTGTGTTTGTTGATGGAAGAGTTGGAATTTGTGGAGGGAGAAGGAGAAGAGAATAAATATGTCGTGAGCTCAGAAAGCAGCTTGGGCCTTGGATTTGGAACAAGGAGAGAGGGACCAAGTCTGAACTGAGTGGCATGAAATTTGAGGTGTATTTTGAAGGAAACCTGAGGGCTGCAAGGTGCTATATTGGGATACAGTGAACCAGTCAAACAAAGACCCCTTAAAATTTTAAAACAACAGCAGTAACAAGGCAAAGCAGAAATGATTATATGGATCCCTGTCCATATCTAGGCTAGTGGGACAACAATGTGAAAATATAAGTGATTCATGCTAGGAAGGAGAGATACATGGGCCATGAGAACTTGTAACAGGAGAGGCCAGAGTGGTCCAGAGTGGGTCAGTTGGTCTGGATTGATGTTTGGTAGGAATGAGGGTGGCAGAGGCAACTTTCACAATGGTTGGTATTGATCTGTATTCTTGGGATGGGGGACGAATAAGGGAGATGATGGTTCGAGGTCTTTGGCAGGGCCTGGGATGACCCTTGTGAGGTCTTTTGGAGAGTTGGGACAGAGAAAGGTCTTGTTTTAGGTCAGAATATAACAGTACTGCAGGGAAAATTAGTGAATCTTTTAAAAATTGAGGACCACCACCGGGCGTGGTGGCTCATGCCTGTAATCCCAGCATGTTGGGAGGCCGAGGCAGGCGGATCACGAGGTCAGGAGATCGAGACCATCCTGGCTAACACGGTGAAACCCTGTCCCTACTAAAAATACAAAATATTAGCTGGGCTTGGTGGCGGGTGCCTGTAGCCCCAGCTACTCAGGTGGCTGAGGCAGGAGAATGGCGAGAACCTGGGAGGTGGAGCTTGCAGTGATCCGAGATCACGCCGCCACTGCACTCCAGCCTGGAAGACAGAGCAAGACTACTTCTCAAAAAATAAACAAACAAATAAATAAATAAAAATAAAAATTAAAGACCACCAAGAAGGGGCAAATTATGATCTTGAGCTTTTCCTAAACTTCCTCCTCCACCATACTCTTCCAAGTTTGCATTATGGCTCACATGGAGGATCCTTAGGTTGATGGGAACACCTGCCTGTCTCCTTGTTCCTTGAAAGGATAGTATGGATTGCTGCTGGGCCTTGCAATCAGGAGGGTTGACCTTGGTCAGCTGTGGGTTTCTTTGGTGCTGGCTGCTGCCTGAAGGTCACCTAGTGGCACCTTGTAATGTTGGGGGAAGAGATTTTTGCAGGCTGGTGCATTCAGGGAGCCAGTTTACTCTGATCTGTCCATCATCTTTGCGGTACACGGCATTTACTTTGCCAGTCTTAGCTTGAGATTGCTCAGGTTGTTACATGACCACAAAGTAGAAATCTGGAAAGAGAAGTGCTCAGCCGGGCTTGGCAGGTTTGCAGGTGCTGCATTGATCGGTAGAGTCCTGCCCTTTAGTGGACAGGAAGGACCTGATCAGAGTGCTTTGGAGCTATTCCTCGAAGGCCATCTGCATAACTGGATGCTCCCACATCCTTTGTTCTGCCACAGCAGTGAACCCACACAGGTGTATGAAGGCTCAGATCTGCTGCTGAGATTGGACACCCCCAATCATTTATCAAGAGGCACCGACATTGGGTCATGGTGTACAAGGGATGGGGGCAAAGAGCAAGGCCACTTCACTACCCATTTGCTATTCTGGCTGCTGGCATTCCTTTTTTTTTTCTTGTTTTTTTACATTTACTTAAAAGAAGTTGTGATTGTTGTCATAGTGTGATGCAGAGAGTGGGTAAACATACCAGGGATGTGCTACTCCCCTAAAGATCTGGATCCTTGGCTCCTTCCCGGAGGATGCTGAATTCATATCCTTGAGGAGGTTTTGGAGCTTCTGAGATCTCTAGGTGAAATACACTCTTTTGATATTGGACATCACCATCACATGTGAGGAGGTTCTGGACAGTGCTTGGACCTCCAGACCATAGATTCTGATTTAATGGCTCTGGTACATAGGGGATTATTTTGTTGCTGTAGTTCTGCAGGTGTTTCCAATTTTCAGCCATACTCGGGAACCTGCCCACTAGTTACTGATCCAGGGAGGCTCTTCCGATTCTTCAGATGAATTCTGCCTCTTCGTTTCCTCATATGGGCCTTGAACTGGAACCCTACCCTTGACTACCTGTTTGGTCTTTAGTCCTCTGTGTGCTTCTTTCCAGCCTGTGTTTTGGAATGCTTTTCCCCAGCTTTGCCTCAGTCTAGATCAGGGCTGGCGACTCACTTCTTTCTTATCTATGAAGAAAAGGAGGACTCCACGTGGAGATTTTGATGGGCAGATATTCTGGAACATTTTTTCACAAAGCTTCCTGCTTGAGGCTCAAATGCATAGTAACTTCTTGCTGTGGAAATCCAGGCCCTGGGGTGGAGATAGACAGGGCAGCCTTGACTGGTATGAGAAAAACATCTTTATTTATTGTCTTCTGTCCATCATGAAAGGCTTAGTATTTCTTTATTTCTTTTTTCTTTTTTTTTTGAGACAGAGTTTCACTCTGTCACCCAGGCTGGCATCAGTGGCGCGATCTTGGCTCACTGCAACCTCCGCTTCCTGGGTTCAAGCAATTCTCCTGCCTCAGCCTCCTGAGTAGCTGGGATTACAGGTGTGTACCACCATGCTTAGCTAATTTTTTATTTTTAGTATAGATGGGGTTTCACCATGTTGATCAGGCTGGTCTCAAACTCCTGAACTCGTGATCCACCCGCCTTGGCCTCCCAAAGTGCTGGGATTACAGGTGTGAGCCGCTGCACCTGAAGGCTTAGTATTCCTACCACCATGTTTCTTACGTCCTGCGGACTCTGGGACAGCAGACTCCAGGGAGTCATAGGTAGGCATTGCCAGGAAGCAGGGCCGAATCGGTGACATTTTTGATATGGGCACTTGTCAAGATAAACTTCTGTAAGTGCATATGTAGGGCTGTGGATCAAGTTCCAGCAGATGTTGGGTCACGTGGCATTAGGCAGGGGCTTTTAAGACCCAAGGCTAATAAGAGATCTGGACAAGACCAAATTGTAGGGGCTGTTCTCACCTCCTTGCTTTTGCCTCCATCGTCCTCCATTTCTCCCTGTGCCTGGTCCACTCCCATCCAAGCTTTAGGATTTCCCGAGGCCTCTCTCCATGCTAGGAAGTATCTTTTCACCTCCAATATATCAGGTGCCCCTGCTCAGTGCTCCCATAACACAGGTGCATACTCAGATCACTACACTTACCATAGAGGGTTTAGCTCAGGGGCAAAGCATTTGACTGCAGATCACTACACTTACCCATTATTTTATAATTCATTTTGAGTGTCTGGATCTATCTTTTATTCAGATAGAGCAACTTGAGAGTCTTGTTCACTTTTGTATCTCTATCACCTTGCATTCTTCCTGGAGTGTAATAGGGCTCAATAAATATTTAAGTGAATGAATCAATAAATTCTTTGTGGGAGTGATATAAATAAGTACTATCAAGATCTTATTGTTGAACATTGCTTTCTTATTACAGTGCTGTTACCTTGTACAAACTTATTTACAGTCTTGTATTCAAGATGCATGTTAAGGGAGATTTTCCTAGCATACAAAGTATTCCAGACAGTTTGGGACACTGAGCACTTTTGATGTATGGCAAGCATTTTAGTGGAAAGTGGGGTGCTTCAACTGTATTTCCCTGACTTTGATACTTCTCTGAAAGTATTATTTTTGATAATTATTTTTAATTAGTTAATTGTGTGTATTTGTTTATTGTATTAATTTTTTTGCTTAATAGTATAACACTAGTATGTAGTCCAGCATAGTGAAATAGTCCTGGATTAGGCAATCGAGAGACCTAGGTTGACCTCTGCATCTAACTATGGGAGCGGGCAAGTCAGTTTCCTGCTTTCATTTAATTCATGTAAAGTGGGAGTGTTGTACTTGTTTGGGGGTTGCAAATATCTGCAGGAGTGAGGCCACCAACTTGAGTTACTGTATGTGCTCTACCATTTTTTTTTCTTGGAACTAGGCCCCTTTTGTTTTCCCACTTTTGTTAGAATTATAAGTAGAAAATATTTCTGTACCACAAGAAAAACAATGATGCAAGGGTAATGACTAATGACAACCCCAGTTCTTCTGTGTTGAGGAGACAATAGCGAGCGGTGGGAACTGTGGTATGTTGGAGCAGCCAAGCCTGCCTATGAAGTGTGACTGCTTTTAATGCTTAGCAACACCTGATCATTTTCAGACATAAATGTGGGCCATGTTGACAGGTCTGATTTTTTTTTTTCTTTCTTTAAGAGAAGCCAGAAATCTGAGTTTTTGTGTGATAGCTCTGATTTTTATGTTTGGCTCAGATTTTCTAAACATATCCACAGATGAAATGTAACACTTCCACCCTGGAAGTCACCCCTTGTGCTTTCGGTTTGTGATCTCCATTAAAGGTGATCTGTGAAGCTGCCTTCTGCGCAAGATCCTGTGATTCTAATGAGTACCATTTCAGCCGGCGAATTAAAGATTCTTGTTCTACTTTGGGAAGTCAGAGTGGGGAAGGAAACGGGGCTAAAAGAGATAGGGGTTTAAGCCTAAATTGCCTGGCAAATGGTGTTTAAGTGAGTCCCCTTGGGGAGAGGCCACAGGGTGCCTGTGATTCACACCAGGTGTTTTGTACATTTGTGATTGCAGGAGTTGGCATCGTTTGGAAGAGTTTGTGAAACCTTTCTGCCCAGAGCTCCTGGACCAATGCGTCTTCCCACCACCTTAAACCACTGGTGAATATATGTGTTTTTTTCCTTCTTCTCAGTGAAGGGAAATACTTCGTTAACTGTAGAATGTAATTTGTCCTTTCTATTAGAGAAGGAAGGATACTGAGCTGGGCCTAGGCATATCTGGGTTTTGGTACTTACTTGGTTCTGCCATTTTTACTGTGGGATTGTAGGTGAATTCTTTGACCTCCCAGGCCCCAGACAGAGAAACATATCCTGCTGTTTAAGGATATGTTTGCTTTGCAGACTAAAAGAGATAATCTATGCAAGAAGTAATGTATGCACAAATGCTTATATTTGCCCAGGGAGAATAAAGTCCTAGGCAAATAGAAGGTAATACTGTTTGGCTCTGAGATGTAGAGCAAGGCAATTCTTGCCCTACCTGCTACATTTATTAACTTTATTAACACACTTTTTCAAGTTGGAGTTCCAGATGTAAGTGTTACAGTGTAGCTGCCATACTCAGCCCAATTCAACTGATCACCAGTTTGGGGCTTTCTACCTTGACTTTTGTGATGTTCATAGACATCTTCATCTGCTAGTCTCATAGGGGTATTTAAGCAGGGCACTTCTGAGCCAACAGATACATTAAAGTGTGAAAACTGATATGTTGGAAACAATGGGGTTTAAATACTTATTTTCTGAGACTTCCAGAGTGGTTCTTCAACAGATTTCCATTCTCTCTCTTTTTTTTCTCCCTTCCTACCAGTATAGCTACCATTTTCTTGAAAGATGAATTAATGGCATTTCACAATTACTTTCTTTTTTATTTGAGATCAGAGAATTTCACAGTTAACAAATGTTCTTCTTTTTCTGAAAGAAACTTAATTACTTATCACAGCAGGTACACGTCTTGCTTCTATGACAGTTGAAAGAGGCAAAAATATGTCCTTAATAACAGTGTGTTCCAGTGCTGAGATGAGAGTGCCTCCAGGTATGATAGCTAGTTGATGCTGGAGGTCTTAGGTGAGATACTGAGGGTAAGGACCACCGTGGGCCAGGGATGCTGAACAACGCTTGCATCTTTATTTCAGCTACTCTTTGTAGAGAAAAGCTGGCCTGGTTAATACTGACTACCTGGTCAGCTCCTATGATGTGGATTAGGTGCTCTCGTGACCCACTGAGACAGATTCCAGTGGGATGGTCACCTGGTGAGTTTGCAGGGTGCTGGGGGTTGAAACAGGAAGGAAGGGCAGTCAGGATAAGCAGGCCCAGGATTAGGAAACCAGTTCAGCCACAAGAGGCTGGCTGTCCAGACTGCCCTGTCCAAGGGGACACAGTGACATTCTGAGTCCCAGAACCTGAATTCCATCTGGTAGGCAGGAAGAGCTCTGTAGTGGAAATCCTCAGGGAAGCAGATGGCATCAGGTAGCAGGACACTTATGCATTCAACAAATATGTATTAATGCCTGCTCTGTGCCAAGGCGCTGTTCTGGGGATTCAGTGGTCATAAGACAGACTAAGGCCTCCCTGGACCTTAGATTTGAGTGGGAATGGTAAGAATGTGAGCTCCATGAGGGCAGGGGTCTTTGCTTGTCTTGTCTTGTTTACTATTGTATCCTCAGCTCTTAGAAGAGCACCTCACACCTGATGGGTGTTCACTAAGTATTGTGAGCAATACTATGAAGGAAGTAAACAAATAACTAAATAGACAATATAATTTCAGGTGGTAATGCATGGTATGAAAACAGTAAAACAAGGTGAGGGGCTGGCAGGGCTCTTTTTGAAAGAATGTTCTAGAAAGGGTTCTATGTGTGTGAGAGAGAAAAAGAAGATTGACTTTGTGTAGAGACCTGAGTGGAGTAAAGGAATCAGGGGAGGAGGAGGAGTGTTCAGGCAGAGGGAATAGCAAGTGAAAAGAAAGGCCTTTGACATAGGATAAGGTTGGCTTGGTAGGGGAACAGGAAGGCAGCCAGTTTGTCTGGACTTGGTCTGGGGGTGTTGATAGGGAGGGAGAGTGACGTGAAATGAGAGTGGTAGGTGGGAGCCAGACCCTGTAGGCTATGGTAAGGAGTTTGATTTCTTTTTTTTTTTTTTTGAGACGGAGTCTTGCTCTGTCGCCCAGGTTGGAGTGCAGTGGCACAATCTCAGCTCACTGCAAGCTCCGCCTCCCGGGTTCACGCCATTCTCCTGCCTCAGCCTCCCAAGTAGCTGGGACTACAGGCACCCGCCACCATGCCTGGCTAATTTTTTGTATTTTTGGTAGAGACAGGGTTTCACTGTGTTAGCCAGGATGGTCTTGATCTCCTGACCTCATGATGTGCCCGCCTCGGCCTCTCGAAGTGCTGGGATTACAGGCGTGAGCCACCGCACCTGGCCAGGAGTTTGATTTTTACTCTGAGAGTGATTGGATTCCATAGTCCATGTGATCTTCTTTGTGCTTTAACATTTTTCCTCTGGATCCTGAGTGCAGAATAGATTCTAGGGGCAAGAGTAGAATCTGGTCCTTCCAGTGATCCAGGCAGGAGATTAGGGTGTGACTTGGATTAGAGTAGTGATGATTGAATATTACGAAGAAGTGGTCAGACTCAGGATACATTTTGAAGGTAGAGCCTTCTAGGTTGCATGTGGGATATAAGTAAAAACAAGAGTCAAGGATTAGTCCCGTGTTTTTGGCTAGGTGAATGACGTTGCTGTTCACTGAGATAAGGAGCAAAGAGGGACCCTAAGGGTTCTGTTGGGTCATCTTAGGTTTGAGATGCCCATTCGATATTCCCATAGAGATGTAGAGTTGGCTGGGGCTGGAAATGGTATCTCTCAGAGTCATTGGCATATAGATGATATTTAAAGCCATGTGACTGAATGAGATCATCTAGGGAGAGAAAGGAAGAGATACATAGGATTTTTGACAGAGGAAAGAGGGAAGGCGAAGGCAAAGGGTAGATTTTCCATATCAAGTCCCTACTAAGAAGTAAATGAAGACATGCTAATGAATATGGTTTCCACTTTATGCAAATATGAATTATACAAATGAGATAATGTGATATAAAAGCAGTCATAAAGTCTCACCTTATGTAAAAAATTTGAAGTGCTGTGACTTCCCCAAATCAAGAAAATTAGTTTCAGGATTGCATCATTATAAATCTGGTCAGCTGAGTGAATTATTAGCAAGCCGGAACATCCAGCAGCCTTTGCCAATAGCCTGTAAGCTACACTGCTCGTAGGCACTGGAATTCCACAAGCCATTTCAATGACTAAGTTTGATTTACATTTCAGGTATTTTTACATTTTAAATTATTACATTTCAGGTATTTTTCTCATTCAATAGTTATATCATCCAAAAGTTCATTAATTGAGGGTTCACTAAATGAAAACATACCTGAAAATCAGTAATTTTGCAATGAAAAGTTAGATATGATAAAATTTTCTGAAGAAGGCCAAACAGGCATCGTGATTTACAGGGCTACAAGTTAGAAGATATTTATGATTATCTTCAAAATATCAAGGATAAATGCTACAAGATAAAAAGTATACTGTGGGAGGCCGAGACGGGTGGATCACAAGGTCAGGAGATCAAGACCATCCTGGCTAACACGATGAAACCCCGTCTCTACCAAAAAATACAAAAAACTAGCCTGGCGAGGTGGCGGGTGCCTGTAGTCCCAGCTACTCAGGAGGCTGAGGCAGGAGAATGGCGTGAACCCGGGAGGCGGAGCTTGCAGTGAGCTGAGATCTGGCCACTGCACTCCAGCCTGGGCGACAGAGCGAGACTCCGTCTCAAAAAAAAAAAAAAAAAAAAAGTATACTGTGGTAGTTGTGGTAGATGTATGCATTCCACCTGTACCCCTCAACTGCCGTTGACTGATATGCGAAAATCAGTTCTGACTCACGCACATCTTCATCTATTTGTGGGCTTCTGGCATAAAATGCAGCTGCTCCATATTTGCTTTGTCTGTTTCCCAGACAAATCATCCTATTGAGCTTCTTCCATCTTCTCACTGGGCGCCTGAGTTTTCCCATTTTGAGCCTCCTAGTGAGTTCCTTTAGTCTTGCAGTCTCCAGCTGCCATAGACATTTTTTTTTTTTTTTTTTTTTTGAGACGGAGTCTTGCTCTGTCGCCCGGGCTGGAGTGCAGTGGCCGGATCTCAGCTCACTGCAAGCTCCGCCTCCCGGGTTTACGCCATTCTCCTGCCTCAGCCTCCCGAGTAGCGGGGACTACAGGCGCCCGCCACCTCGCCCGGCTAGTTTTTTGTGTTTTTAGTAGAGACGGGGTTTCACTGTGTTAGCCAGGATGGTCTCGATCTCCTGACCTCGTGATCCGCCCGTCTCGGCCTCCCAAAGTGCTGGGATTACAGGCTTGAGCCACCGCGCCCGGCGCCATAGACATTTTTGCCTCTTCCCACCATCACTGGCTCCAAAGCCTATTTACCTCCTCCTCCCTCTGCCTTTGTGAGCCTTTCAGTTTAGGATCTCCCCAATCCCCCTGCCCCCAAAGCTTTTGAATAGCCTCAAGATTTCCTTCTTTGAAAACATTTTCACTCCTTCCCTCAACCCCAACCCCATGTGGTCTTCTCAGGCCTTTTGTGGAAATGATGACTTAAGAGAGGGCAGGATGATCAGCAGCATTCTAGAATGGGGTCTCTCCCTCCCGTGGGCATGGGCAGTGCTGACTTGCTTCTACATGTGTTTAAAGACTCCCCAGCTTGAGTGAAAACACTCTGAGTGGTACTTCCGGAACTTGGAATCTCTAGAAAATGAACATTGATTGTGTAGTGTTCTATGTCTATGACCAATGGTTTATGGCAAATGAGGGTTTCAGTGGAATGGTATTTATGATGAATGGCATCAACCCTGGTTTTCATTTGTTGTCTTTTCTCACAGAGTAGAACCTAAATAAAATTAAAAAGAGTGAAACTTACTGGTAATTACAGGGGGAGGATTTTTCCTTCTGCTTCCTCCTTCAGTAAGTGATTTCAGGAATTAAAAAGGTATGGGACCTTCCCATGCCCCTGGAGACTTAAAGTGGTTGGACATTTAAAAACTGGTGGTATCCTTCTTAAGTTAAA